TAAGAAGTCTTGGAAGCCATTTGGGCCGTCTTCGTGGTTCTTGGAAGCCCCGCCGGGGATGGAGTGTCATGGAATAGAGCTCCCCAAAAGTTCGACCATCCAGCCTAGCTTGAACTTGAGCGCGCGCGAAGCGCGCGCTATGGTTCTAGTGTGCTCGCATATATGCGTATCTCATATACAGATGATGCAGTACATGTGGAGAAACCGATGTGGTTCAATCTATGTGGTGCGAACTATGTTGTGCAATATGTGGTGTTCAGTCTAGGTGTTGCACCCTATGCGGTGCGATCTATGTGTGCAACTGATTTTTACCAACGATTTGACACACCCTATGCTCTTGCAAACGTCCCACCCACCCATCCGCAACTTGGTTTGCAAAACCTCTTAAGACCTAGTACGACGACTCCGACGACAACGACTACGACGATACCGACGACGACTCCGACGACTTCGACGACGACGACAAAGACGACGACGACGACACCGACGACGATGACGACGCCACCTACGACGACGACGAGGACGACGCCGACGACGACGACGCCGACGACGACGACGTCGACGACGCCGACGACGACGACGGCGACGACGACGACGTCGACGTCGACGACGGCGAACACGACGACGACGCCGACGCCGACGACGACGACGACGATGACGACGACGTCGACGACGCCGACGACGATGACGACGACGGCGACGACGACGACGCCGACGTCGACGACGACGAAGACGACGACGGCGCCGACGCCGACGACGACGAAGACGACGACGACGTCGCGAACGAAGACGACGACGAGGGAGGAGGGAGGACGACGACGGCGACAACGACGACAACGACGACAACGACGAGGGAGGAGGGAGGACGGCGACGACGCGAACGACGAAGAAGGAGGAAGGACGGCGACGCCGACGACGACAACGACGAGGGAGGAAGGAAGACGACGACGACAACGACGACGACGACGGCGACGAAATAGGAGGGACGACGACGAGACGCCGACGACGGACGACGACGACGACGAGGGAGGAGGAGGAAGGACGACCACGGCGACAACGACGACGGAAACGACCATGACGCCAAAGAGGACGACGTTGACGAACACTAGGAAAGACAGAGGACGACGTAGGCGACGACGACGACGACGCGGGAGGAGGGAGGACGGCGTCGACGACGACGACGACGCATGAGCGCGCGCGCACGCTTTTGTTGAAAATCCGTGTTGCGAAACCTTGTGTTTTTGCAGTTTTTTTTGACGCACGATTTTGAAATCCTTCCGAAACCGGTGGGTTTCGAAGGATTTCGGCTTACGCGCGCGACGACGCTCGCGCGCGCGTCTGCAGAGGATTCTCGCGACGGCGCACGCGCAAGGGCGTTCGACAGATTTCGACATGCGCGCGCGAAGCCCGTTTGGTAGTATTTTGAAAAACCCATGGTTTTCTTAAGATTTCGCAAGAGCTCGCGCGTAAGCTTTTTTAGCACATCCGTGTAGCGAAACCCTGTTTTTTGTATGTTTTTTGGAAACTAGATTGCGAAATCCTTCCGAAACCCAAGATTGTTAAAGGATTTCGGCATGCGCGCGCGACGACGCGCGCGTGTGCATTTCGTCCCATTTTTTTTGCAATGGATTCGTGAAAAACATTTTGTGTTAGAACAAAGAATGTCCCCGCGTATTTTCTAATAAAAAGGAACCTCCGGGGGAGCGATACGGGCCCCCCTGGGATAGTGCGAATTCATATTTAGGATGGACATGTGGTCGGAATCGCATCTGATTTACATACCCGAAAGGGGTGGGGATAACTCCGGGGGGGGGGGGCGTAGAGTCTAATTCTGTTTTGAGAAAGGAGAATCTATGTGAAGCAATCCGTTTGCTGCACTGCGTGGTATGCAGGCCATGTTGTGCCATCTAAGTTGTGCAACCGACGTGGTGCAAGTCGCCAGTGTTCGCAGTGAGTTGTCAACTCCATTGCTCGCGCAACCATCCCACCTACCCACCCGCAACTTGGTTAACAAAACCCATGCGACGGCGATTGCGATGGGTGCTTGGCGTTGGCTGGTGCATCTGCGGCCGCGCTAGCCCGCGCATGCTCGCGCGCGCAGCGGCCAGTTACTGTGGCCCGACCGGCGCGGCCGCGGTGGCGTTTACCGCTGGGCACTTCTCAGCTGGCACCTCAGTGCGAGTCGGTGACTTGTGCGAGCGCGGTATCACGGCGACGACGACGACGGCAAGGCCCATGACGGCGCCGATGTTGATCACGCCCGCCGATAACGACGAAGATGTTTTCGAGTCGGTGAGGAAAAGGTTTTGGAAAGAGTTCGACAAGCGCGCGCAGCCGACGCGTGCGAATGGCTGGCGTGGTTGTCTTTGACATTGATTTTGCCCCGCCAGCACGCGCGTAAGGGCGTCCGCATGAGTTCGCATGCGGCGTGCCCGCTCGGCAGACTCAAATGACGATGTGGAAACTATGTCGCATGTTTTCAGGACCCTTGTTTTACAACTCCTCACGACACCTAAGGTTTCCGAAAGATTTCGGCATGCGCGCGCGACGACACGCGCGTGTGCACGTCGTCCCGTTGTTTACGCTTGGTTTTTGCGACGGCACGCGCGCCAGAGCGTCCGGACGATTTTGTCATGAGCGCGCGAGAAGCCTCTTTGGTAGCATGTTATGAACATGTGGGAAAGCGCACGATTGCCTCAAGAATCTGCAAGCGCGTGGGCGCAGATTTTGTTTGAAGATCCTTGTTGCGAAACCACATGTCTTTTATCGGAGGTGAGGGGGTGAGTCGAAGTGGAAAGGAGAGCCCCCCTACCGGAAAATGGGTTTCGGTTTCGTGTTCGGGCGTGCCGTGCGTGCGGGCGAGGCGAAGTTGCGTGGGCGGGCGAGAAGGAAGTCTCCTCCGGTTGAGGCGCGGCCAAAACAAATGATTCCTTTCCGGGGGCCAGTGCCGCGCGGTGTCCCGTTGGTGTCCCGCCTCCGGTTGAGTCGCGGCCGGACCAAATTTGTCCTTTCCGCGGGCCGGTGCCGCGCGGTGTCCCGCCCGTGTCTTGCCGGTGTCCCGTCGGTGTCCCGATGATGATGAGGGGATGATGTTGATGATGATGATGATGATGTAGATGATGGTGTTGATGATGATGATGGTGATGGTGATGATGGTGATGATGATGGTGTCCCGATGATGATGTTGACGATGTTGATGATGATGATGGTGATGTTGGTGATGATGATGGTGTCCCGCTGATGATGGTGTTGACGATGCTGCTGATGCTGCTGATGATGATGGTTTCCCGATGATGGTGATGATGATTATGTTGATCCTGATGATGATGATGGTGATGAGAGGATGATGAGATGATGATGAAGATGATGATGGTGATGTTGATGATGATGAGGTTGATGATGCTTTTGATGATGATGATGATGATGATGATAATGGTGTCCCGATAATGATGGTGATGATGATGACGATGATGGTGCCCCGATGATGATGATGATGATGATGATGATGATGTTGATGATGAGGATTCTGATGAGGTGATGATGATGGTGACGATGATGATGGTGCCCCGATGATGGTGATGTTGATGATGATGATGTTGCTGATGATGATGGTGTCCCGATGCTGATGATGTTGATGATGTTGTTCATGATGATGATGAGATGATGCTGATGATGGTGTTCCGATGGTGATGATGGTGTCCCGATGCTGATGATGTTGATGATGATGATGGTGACGATAATGGTGTCCCGATGATGCTGCTGATGATGATGATGATGATGATGATGATGGTGATGATGATGATGGTGATGGTGATGTTCATGACGATGGTGATGAGGTAGTGATGATGACGGTTTCCCGATGATGATGATGATGATGATGATGATGCTGATGATGATGATGATGATGATGATGATGATGACGTTGATGAAGATGATGTTGATGATGATGATGATGCTGATGACGTTGATTGTGTGATCGATTGTGATATCGATAGTGACATCGATAGTGAGACCGAATGTGAGAGCGATTGTGAGATCGATAGTGAGATCGATAACGAGGTCGATTGTGAGATCGATAGTCAGACCGATTGTGAGATCGATCGAATGAAATAGATCGAGTGAGATCGATTGTGAGATCGATCGAGTGAGATCGATCGAGCGAGACCGATAGTGAGATCGATAGTGAGATCGATAGTGAGATCGATCGAGTGAGACGTTGGTTCCTCCCCCCCCCCCGAACCTCCTTATGACCCGAAGGGTGGTCGTATAGGTATATGTTCGTGGCACTCGATTTTGAAAACCCTGCGGAACCTTAGGTTTTTGAGGTATTTCGGCATGCGCGCGCGACGACGTGCGCGTGTGCACTTCGTCCCGTTTATTGTTGCAAAAACGCTTTTTGAGAACGGAAGATGTTTGATAAACGAGTGCGCGCGCATAGTGTTTTTTGCAAAGGGTGAGGGGGGATACCGGTGTAGCTGGGATGATGTGGGTTCATAGTTAGGGTGGGCGATGGGACAGAAGCATGTAAATTGCCTATCCCCTGGGGAGCCGAGAAGTCCGGGGGGGTGGGTGGGATCCGATGCTCTGGTGCCATGTCAGCTCTGGTGCCGTGCTCGTGGGCGCTTGGGGCACATTGTTCAGCATGGGGGTGTTCGTCTCAATAAGTTGATGGTGGATTGTCCTGGACATATGGCACCGGGTCAGCGCACCGTCATGAACAAAGTCGTGCGTGGTGCTGCCCCCAGGGAGGGTACCATGCATGGCCTGGCCCTTTGGCGAGCCTGTTCGTCCGTGGGCCCCAGCACCCCGCCGAAAGAGGCGAGGATTGTAACGACATCTTGGACTGAACTCTGAGGTGACCCGCTCGCCTTTTGCACTGTATTTTCTTCCTGCCTTGCCGCGCGCTTCGGACGCGTAGGGCAGACTCCTGCTGCTGCCGTTCCTCTTCCTCCTCCCCCTCATGACCTTCCAACGGGCACTCTTCCCCATGACGCCAGCAGGACTATTGGATCCTGAGCGATGACCTGTCCGAGGTGGACGTTTCCACCCTGCCTCTCGGAGCCCTTTGCCGGGATGGGGGGTAGGAAAAGGAGGTTGGGGGTCGTCTCGCGGAGGACGAAGGCCAAGGAGGTTGATTATGAGGAGGAGGCGGCGGAAGAGGAGGACGAGAAAGAGGACCAGCGGAAACAGGAAAGGGGAGGGAGACGAGGTGGTGGAGATGAGATAGATGAATGGGGGATGAAGGGGGGCCCGTGCAATGCTTCGTTTTCTCACATCTTGCAGAGGATATGCGTGGCATCCGATTTCGTATGTGTTGTTTGTCGCTTCCTGTCGTGTTGCCTGTGTGTGTGGTTCGTGCTGAGTGGTCTTCCTCTTTCTCTGCCTGGGGCTTTATGGGGGGGGGGCCTCTTGACGCCCTGTGAGACGGCCTCTTGGAGCCTTTTCAGGGCCCCTTGGGGCTTGTGGGGGCCCTCTGGCGCCTTCTTGGGAGCACCGCTAGGTGCGCCGCACGTGCAAGGGCACCCGCATCACCCCTGTCGAATATCAGAGCACAAAACTCGCAGGGTGCCCGCGCAGGGTCCAAACTCTTGCCGCAACGTGCGCTTGGCATTGTTTTTGTTGAAAAGGTCTGGATGTCTCGCACACACCAGGCCCCCGCCGTCCCTGCCGACAAACAAAGCAGTGTAGAGTGACCGCGGGGCTTCCGAACATGCTCCAGGCCTGGCCGCAGAGTGCACGCGGCATGGCTCTTCGACGGGGGTGGGGTGGACTGGCCCTGGTTGGGTAAACAACGGTCAAGTCCTGGGTTGGCCTGGATGCTTCGGGGGACTCCAACTGATGTTTCGCAAGAAGAGGCTGTAGCGAAAAAAGAAAGGGCCTGACGCACACCAACTGCTGCAAGCGCGGTTGCGGACCTCCAGCGAACACAAGCGAACATCTCTGGACGGGGGGGGGAGGCCAGGGGAGGGGGGCACGGAAGCCAAGCCTGGTGGAACGACCTCCCTCCGTGTACCCTGGACCTCCGACGCCGTGCCTTTCTCACCACCTACCAAACCACCCCAACCCAACCCGAAGGCCTCCATTTGCCCTCCATTTCCAGTGTGGGGGGGTCGGGGAACATCGACAAAAACGCATGTGGAACCCATACCCCCCCCAACCCGAAATTCGGGTCTTCGGGTTGGGTTGGGGTGGTCTGGTAGGTAGTCACTTTCTCACGAGGTCACGACCCTCGGCCCCAGGCCGCTCTTTCATGCCGCGTCGCCGTTTCCTCCGCGGTCCCTGGGGGGCCGGAAGCAGGGCCCCGGAGGTCGGAGAGAGCCGACAATGTTCCGTCGCGTTTCCTTCACGGCGCGAGGAGGTCGGCATCCCCCCCCCCCCACAGCGGCCTGCCAGCCCCTCCTGCCGGCCAGGAGCCCCGAAGCCGAGGAAGATCGCCTTCCACAACGCCGCCAAGGCGCTGCGCCCCGCCTCGCCGGCCCTGCCCGGAGCGGCGGCCGCGGCGCTGGCCGCGGCGGGGCTCGGCAGGTGCGGCGGCGAGGGCCGTCGCCGCGCCCGGCGAGGCTCGTGGAGCGTCGGTGCACTTCGATTGGGGTTTCGGACGTGTTCGTCGGTGCTCGGGCTGTGGAGGGCGATCCACGGAGAGGAAGCACGTTGCCAAATAATGTCCAGATGTCTGGAAGATGTGTTGATCATGCTTCAAGCATGTAAAAAAAACCTCTGCTCTTCAACAAAAAAAAACACATGTTCAGGACATGCCTCCGACGTTTTACACACATGAATTCGACGATGGAACTGTTAGGGTGCCCATTGTCATGGCATCCACAATGCTTGGGCGTCTTCTTGTCCAGGGATGGTCTCCACCAGCGGCGCCTCGCCGCGAGGGCGCTCCGCTGCGCGGCGGCGCGCCGAAGGGGGGGAAGGTGGGAGGGCTGCGGGCCTTGCGGAAGGCGGCGGGGCCTCTCCAGGAGCCCTCTTGGCCTGTTGTTGTGGAAAGCGATCCATGGAGAGGAGGCATGCGGCCAAATCATCTCCAGATGTCGAAAAGATGTTTCACATCTGTGTTTAAAAATATGTTAGAGACATGCTTGACACATGTTTAGAACATGCTGTACACATTTCAAACACATCTTTAGGTCTACGATCGGATTGTTAGAGTGTCCATTGTCATGGCATCCACAAGCCTTTTGAGAGGCCCCCCCGTGTGGCTTCGGAGAAGGCCGAGGGAGCTTCACAGAAGGCCGAAGGCTTCCCCGAGCCTTCTGAGGAGGCCCGCCTCCTCTGCCCCCCCCCCTGGGCGCGCCGCCGAGCCGAAGCTCCTGGACCGTCGGTCCGTGATAGGATTCCGGCCGGCCCGGTCCGAGTCGATTCCGAACGTCCCCGACCTGTTCGCGCGGTCGGAAACACACTGCGGCGATGTTCTGGTATTTTCCGCCGGCTCCGGATGGAAAAAGACACCGGCCTCGGGAGAGGGTCGCGACCTCCGAGGGTCCATTTTGACGATGATGATGATGATGATGATGATGATGATGATGATGATGATGAAAACGATGATGGCGATGATCATGATGATAAAGATGGTGATTGTTGGTGATGATGCTGATGATGATGATTATGATGATGACGATTATGATCGTGACGCTGCTTATGATAATGCTGATGATTGTGATGATGATGATGCTGTTGTTGCTGTTGATGATGATGATGATGATGATAGTGGTGATGGTGATGATGGTGATACTGATCTCGATGATGATGATGATGGTGATGCTGGTGATGATGATGATGATGATGATGATGATGATGATGATGATGATGGTGATGGTGATGGTGATGGTGATGGTGATGATGATGATGATGATGCTGATGATGATCATGATGATGATGATGATGATGATGATGATGATGATGATGATGATGATGATGATGATGATGATGATGATGATGATGATGATGATGATGATGATGATGGTGATGGTGATGGTGATGGTGATGGTGATGGTGATGGTGATGGTGATGGTGATGATGAGGAGGAGGAGGAGGAGGAGAAGGAGGAGGAGGAGGAGGAGGAGGAGGAGGACGACAAGGCTTCATCAACGCCTGGCGCCCATACCCCCGACGACCGAGGACGAGCCTCCCGGCAGCAGGTCCATTCGGCGCGTGCGAGTCGCCGACGCGCCACGACGCACCCCACGTGAAGACCTCCCCGCCCCGCCCCACACTTACGTCGGGCGTGTCCCCCTACAGAGGGATTTTCGACGAAGAATAAAAAATACCCCAAGAAGGTCAAAAATGCCCCAAAGAATAGTCCCCGGATTATTTTTGGATCATTTTTTGATTATTTTCGGGGTATCTTTTATTTTTCGTCGAAAATCCCCCTGTAGGGGGACAGGCCCGACTTAACCCTAAACCTCCCCACGCACCCGACGACCTCCCCACGACCACGCCGACGCCACCACACCAACGCCACACGCCGACGGCACAACCTCCGGGGACGCCAAATTCCGCAGCGGCCGCACCCCGACGCTGGCGTCGTCGACGCGGCCCCAGGGAGGCCGGCACCCGCCCAGGAGAGGCGGATGCAAGTGCTGGGTCCCGCCTCGAAGGAAGGCAGGAGTCGTTCTCTTCGGGCTCTCGGGGCCATCCTGAAGGAGCAGGAGGAGGAGGAGGAGGAGGAAGAGGATGCGGAGGAGGCGGAGGAGGCGGAGGAGGAGGCGGAGGAGGAGGCGGAGGAGGAGGAGGAGGAGGAGGAGGAAGAAGAGGCAACCGCTTTGCTGGTTGGACATCTGGGCCACTGTGCGTGCTGTGGCCGCCAAGGCCGATGTGTCCGCCCGCCATGGCCCCCGTGGCTCGTCGCTCGGGCGCCCCTGTGGCCGCAGTGGCCACAGTGATCTTCGAGGTCGTTCTGAATTGGTTATTGTCTCGGGTGTTGCCAGAGGTGCCCAAGGTTTCCCAAGGACTTCCTAGGAGGTCTAGATGATTTCAAGGGCGCCCCTCACAAGGCCCAGAGGGCTCCATGGGCTCCAAACTGATTCGAAAAGCTCTGGACACCTTGGACCAGGACCACCTCGGGTAGACCCTGATTTCTTGGTTGATAATTGATTGCTCGATTTGGTTGATGTTGGCACCCGTCTTGGCGTCCTGGCATGCAGCTTGGGGGTTAGCCCACAGGACGTGCTGGCGGTAGCGGAGCAACATGTGTGCCGATCGGAGGCCCGAATGCGTGGATCTGTTGTTCGTATGCTTGCCGTGCCGTGGCCACCCCGTGGTGGGCGCCATGTTTCCTTTGACCAGACGGTGCTTGCACTTGTGGGCTCTCACTTGGGTTCTTAGAAGTTGGAAGGGTCCGCCGAAGATGTTCCACGTTAGCTCCCGTGCCGCCTCGTGGGCACAACATCATCATCATCAGCATCATCATCATCGTCGTCGTCATCATCATCACCATCGCCATCATCGTCATCATCATCATCATTATTATCATCATCATCCTTATCATCCTTATCATCATCATCATCATCATCATCACCATCATCATCATCATCATCATCATCATCATTATCATTATCATCACCATCATCATCATCATCATCATCATCATCATCATCATCATCGGTATCACCATCATGGGCATCATCACCATCACCATCATCTACGTCATAATCATCATCACCATCAATCGGCAGTCACCAGAGATCCCACCAATGTCTTGGAGGCCCTTCGGCGTCATTGGTCAGCGGTCTTTCGGGCACAATCGGCCAGTCGGCTGGAGATTAGACAACACCTGGAGCGACACGACCCGGCCTACGAGATGGCCGACCTAGCGATGCCCAGCGTCACGGACCTTAAGAACACGCGCTGACATGTACGTCACAGTGCTCCGGGTCCCGATAGGCTCCCCTACAAGGCTTGGATGGTCTTGGAGGGCCAGATCGCAGTTCGGCATGGCCTCTTGCAGCACCTCATGGCGGGCCACCACACCAGAGGCCCTGAATGACTCTATCCTCGCGTTCTTGCCCAAAGGATGCGAACCCAGCGGTGCCTATGAGTGCCTGCATGGCCCAGATCAAATTCGCCCTCTCTCGCTGCGCAACACGGATTCTAAGACCCTAACTTCAGCCAGCGGCCAATCAGAAGCTCAAAGGACTGGTCCGTACGCGCACGCATCAAGTCCAGCAAGGATTTGTGCCTGGCAGGAATTTTCTTCACAATTTGCTTCAGCTAGATACAGCTGCCCGCTCGGCTAGCATCAGCGAGACAGCCGATGCACAGGCGCCTGTCTTTGTTACGTTCGGTATAGCTGCTGCGTTTCCATCCCTTGGCCACGACTGGCTGTGGGAGGTACTCTCTCGATTTGGCGTGCCTCCTGGATATTTGTATTTGCTCGCCTCACTGTACTTTTAGCCCCGCAGCTTTGCTATGCTTCAGGGCGAAATGCAAGTCATGTTCCATTTGCGTTCAGGCGTAACGCAAGGCTGCCCACTTTTAGTCTCGGTGTGGGCCATCGCTATGGACCCGATTTTAACCCATCTGGCGGCGGAGGTGTCGTCGTCGTCTCCACGGGGGGTGGTCGGTTGATGTGTTGATGATGCGGGGCTTGTGCAGCCTTGCCTGTCAGATTTAACACGTGCCTTTCCTGTCTTCAAAAGCGCCGAGGAGGTAGCAACATTGAGGCTCCAGCCCAGCAAGACAGTAGTTGTTCCTCTTTGGGTGGAGGTCACGCCAGAGGTAGACCATCGGGCTCGCTCGTTTTTAGAAACAAACATTCCCGAATGGAGCGGTTTCAAGATTGCTGGCCAGGCGAACCATCTAGGAGTGCAATTCGGACCCGCGGCCACAGAGATCGGGTTTGGGCAGAGGCCATATGCAAGTGGTGGCGTCGGACTTGCGACATTCCACGGACGGCCGCGCCCTCGAGTTTCAGCCTGCTTCTGTACAGCAGCACGGCCCTCTCGACATTCAGTTATATTGCGCAGCTTTACCCATTGCCAACCGTTGTCTTGCACAAAGAAAATTCGCTTTGCACCAAAGTCCTCCGTTTGCCGCCCAGCACATTTCGATTGACTGATTTGTTTTATTTCAAAGCGCACGGCTTAGTGGCTCCCGTTTCCGCGCTATTCATGAATGCGGCGAGCTTGTGGAGATGCGGCTTTCACATTTTGCGAGGCTGGGAAGAGCAGCTGCATGAATGGTCTGAAGCGGCGATCCTTCACGTTCCACTGGTGCGCCGGACGCGTGAACGATGGAGTGCACCATGCGGGAAAGTAGAGCACGGTTACTTGCAAAGTTTTGCTAGGCTCGCCGAGGAGCCACCGTTTTCATCAATCCCTGTGGCTGCCTGGCGATCGGCGCTGGAGGCGGCCCGCTACGAGCAGGCCAGCGCAGCGGGCGAAGGCCGCAAAGGGAAGGTCCAGCGTACCCTTTCATCCTCGCTGCGCGCTTCTCTTTTTCCATTTGGTT